ACTGCAAAGAACAAAAACGAAGCTATAGCACCAGAAATCCTGCACCAACCCAATAGTCTCCCCTGAAATTAATGTTGAATGTTGGAGACCTGCCACAAAAAGAAAAAAAAAAAAATTCAGCTAATAAACATCTTAATACAATATTAGAAAGTTAATTCTAGTGCTCCCGAATCAAGACATGCATGCATCATTTATCAATGGACCATCCAGGAGCAAATCATTCACAACACTAACATATGCAGGCACCAATCTTAACCTACCACAATAAGAGAGCAAAAATATGGCAAGCAACAATGAAACCACACACAAGCAGTTAAATACATACACAATCATTTTGATACATGATTTTTATAAGAAAACTAAAGAATCATAAGCACCTGGAGATGCTGCCCTTCAGCTGGTGAACATGAGCATCCAACTTCCTGAGACTCAAGTTCTTTTGATCCCTGTGCAACATACAACAAGAACTCAACCAAATGTTATTCTAAAATAACAATCTTGGGCTGCATACATTTCTACAATTCACATGTAAACAACAACTTAGACAAAGAAACATAAATGAATTACATACCTGAATTTCTTGATTAAATCCAAGGGGAGACCAGGATTCAAACTCATAGCAAATTCTTGTGTCGTAATTTCTTCCTTTACTTTGCGAACAATTTTTTCAACCTTTGATTGTTTTCTTTGAATGGGGGACGACCTTTGCTGCGAATAGCCCGTGGAGTAAGAATATTACTGCTCCCTTCTTTCAAAGTATCATCACAACTTCAAATCATTCTATTATTACCTGACATGCGGTCTTTATCAATCCCGACACTTTTATTTGACATCAATTTATCTTCATATCATTGATCATTTCTCACTATGTTACAATCATCCTCATTGCTTGATGCCAAATCTGCTACAACGCTGAATAAATTAGACAACTCATCAAATCGTTGTCCGTCAAGATTGGTGCTCCAACTATTATAACTTATTTAACCTTGGTATGGTGTCTGTTTATATTTTTCCTCCATCGTCTTAAAACGTACTTTCTGGTACATGAGAAACTTGCTTACGAATCAATACCACAATTGCATGTCGACATAAATTCCTCTAAAATCAAACAATCGACAATTGCAACGAACATCACAACTTGCTTCATCAAAGCAAACCACAAAAGGAACACGACGGTGAGTCTCTCCAACCAAAAATCTTCTTCTATTATAGATTCCATATAGGAACCAATCTCTTTGAAAGAAGATAAATCACAATAGACCTTGGCAGCTAGCTCTTGTTGAAAATCTTTGAATTTTGCAGTGGTATATGCATCTTGGAATGTTTCTCCATAGCATAAGTGGTTATGCAAGGGATCCATGATTTGAAAGATTAAAATCAGCTCCTTTTCTTTTCCACTTTATCACGCAATGCATTTCATATTGTTCCACAAACTGTTTTAAAGGGTTTTTGAATTAACATATCCATCAAAGAATGCATGCATACTTTCACTGCGTTGAGTAGTAGACATACCTGCCCAAAAAGTATCTTTTACAAAAGCCGGACCCAACGTCGTTGTCATTATACAATCCAAGCAACCAATCATTGTCGTGAAGGTTGTATTATCAATGTACCTATTCCAACGTTCTTCAAACTCCTCACATGTCAATGAATCATACACGGCATTTTGCAAAGAAAACTTAATCTGTTCATATTGACTATAACCTCTAAGTTTTTCAGGCAATTTCTTCATTATATGCCACAAACACCATCTATGTCGTGTACCAGGGAACACAATCTCGATTGCATTTTGCATTGCCTTATCTTGATCAGTGATTATTGCTTTAGGAGCGCAATTCAACATACATGCAAGCCAAGATTGAAAAAGCCATACAAATGTCTTTGTGTCTGTTGGAGATAACCCAAACAACTAACAGTATCGAATGACCATGATGATTAAAACCAACAAAAGCACCAAACGGCATATCATACTTGTTGGTCAAATATGTAGTGTCGAATGTCACAACATCACCGAACTCTTTAAATGCAGCCCTACTTCTTGCATCCACCATAAAACATTCTTTAATGACCTTCTCATCTAAATAATTATGTAGAAGAAATTAGAATTCTCATTTGCATTTTCAAAAAATATTTTTGGATGCAGAAGCATCCCCAACACCAAGTCGTAACCTTAACTTTTTCAATGTAGTTCCTACAATCTTTCTGTAGGAAAGGCAAATCTCAGCACCGCTGCTTCAACTAACATGGAATTGAAATTTTTATTTGGCCTAATCCCAGCCCTATCATTCACTTCAAGCTTTCTTTTTACATATGGTTGTATAATTCGATTGCTTCTGAAATATCTACTTTTGGTAGGACTACTGAGTTATGGTTATGATCAAACACAACTGAACATATTTTCCATTTGCCGTCTGAACGTACAGCTGCACCAATTCGAGCCTTACAATCAGTTTTTGTTACTGGATGCATTTTAAAAGCATTTACGGGGTTACTGCGCGACTTCCCAATACAAGAACAAGCTAGTGTCGCGTTTGTCACCTCTCATCATATCCTTTCTTTGAAGATCGTATAATAACTTCGAAACCCATTTTATTCCCATAGCTTTTGTAGTGTTGGACAAGATTATCAAGCGAATCAAAATCATTCCAGGCTTAGGCTCCCATTCTCCTTGCACTTCTGTATTTCCATTTCTTCAAAATGATTATCAATTTATTGATATTATAATAGCCATAATTAAATAGAATAATACAACAAAAAGGATAGGAACAATACCATAAAAAATTTAAAATCATATTAATGAATAAAAAGTGATTACCAACAAAAATTACCCCACAACATTGAAATGAGAAGAAGAGTTGTCTAGATTTTCTTCAATATATTCTTCCATCTTTGGAACTTTGATACAACACCAAGACCAAGTTCAAAAAAACAACCTGCAATAAAAAGAAACAAATTGACAAATAAACTATTTTGCAATGAAATAGTCTAACAATTGTCAAACCACAACATAAGCAAAGGATGTTAGCAAGTACAAACATTTTATTTATAGCATTTTATCATGACTCTCAAGCTCTATATTGTTCTTAGATGTGTTTTAAAGCTATAGAAATAATACCATGAAAGCAAAAAATGGTTCAATCTTATGGGTTTCTCTTTTGACAGCAATTCTTATAAATTCAACAGGTGAAAATGACGAGTGCTGGTGAAGATGAGGTTCGACGCTGGTGGTGGACGACGGCGGCCGACGCTAGTGGTGGAAGACGGCAAGCCACGGTGGTGGTGGTAGAGGATACACTGTGGTCAGTGGCGCGTTTCTGTTTTCAGTTTAAAAGAGTTTTTATTTCATTTGAAATTTTTTTTTCTTTTTAAGTCTTTGGAGGGAACTGAACGTGGCCATTAGCCACGTCAGTTAGTACTGACTTTGTACACCCTTGGTTAGTGCAGGTAGGTTTATTGTTAAAAGTTCATCACATAAGATATATTATAGTAAAGGCATCCAAAAACCTTTCTCAAAAAAAAGCAACCGTCTCTACTCATGTAAACAACACTCCCAAGCAATTCAATTTAAAGACAAATTCCATGAATCAAAACCAAATAACTGAATATGACATGCAATCCTTGATTCCACACATTTGACTGAAACATAACTTCATGCATGTAAATTTCATCATATTTTTAAGGCAAAACTCAAAGATTAACACCCTAGTTCAACACAAGCTCTCAAACCCACTGAAATGATCATCTTAATTAAAACATGCAAGCTTGAATTTGAAGAAAGTTTTAGTTTTTGCCACTCACACTAAAAAAATTAGCTCAACCCGAAATACCCAGTGCCCAAGATTTTCTTTCTTCAATTTTCTCCCTCCCCCCACTTTCTCTCCCTCATTTATCTTTTTCTTCCCCTTTTTCTCTCCTCTTCCCTTCCTCCTCTCGGCCGAACGATCTCTCTCTTCCTTCTTTTCTCCCTTCTCTCTCTTCCTTTCTCTCTTTCTTTTCTTTCTCTCCACTTTCTTCTTCTTCATTTGGGCGAGCAGCCCAAATTTACATAAAACAATTTTTTTTTTCTCTATAACAGCCCCCAAATTCTCTTAATTCTAATATAACCCTGCCACATCATCTTTTCCTTACAAAAACGCCCAGATTTCGTGCCCTTGCTACATGCAAACCCAACAGTTTCTATTTCTTCGTTTTCACCCCTAAACAAACTTTAAAATTTGACAGAAAAGTCCCTCCTTAAAAACAAAACCAAAGGGAATATATATATATAATTAGAATGGGGTTTTACAATCCCACTTGTGATATATACCCAAATATATAGCTAGTTTCCTGAAGTGGGTACAAGCATCCCCTGTTTCGTGCTCTGTTAAGAGCAGAGAATTCAAGGGAATTGAAGATTATCTGAACAAAATCACATGCCAAGTTCAGAAGGATCCTAGGAAAAACCTGCATAACATCATGTATGAAGAAGTTTATGGAGAATGGGACCAAGATTAAGCTTACAGAGTATTGTTTTACTAGAATGAATAAAACTAAATAATTAAATGAACTGAGGGTAGAACAGATCCTCAAAAATCTGATTATTAATAGATATGTTAAGATCCTTTATTGCTTAAATCACATTTTAAATGCTTATATTAATTAGTCCTGATAGTTGATTTTATAAGGTCGTCCTTACATATGCTATAAGCTCTGTCTAATTATATTTGTTTTGAGAATATGAAACTTTTCTCTTGTACCATTTATGCACATATAAAAATATTTTTTCATCATTCCTTTGAAATACTCATGTTCTGTTTCTTTCTTTAGTAGATATTACCTTCATTTTTGTAATTTTCCATTCATATCATAAATTTAACTTTGCATTCCCAGCTTAAATGGAAATGAATACAGATATGATTTATTGATCTCAAATATCATAACCACTATTCACATCCCTTTGTAGCAAATACAAAATACATAAGCTCCAAACATTCAAAGACCAAAAGAGAAACACAAACAGTCTAGTAACATTTTCTAAGAACACTACCCAGTTTGTCCTGGAGGCGATCCAGGAATTGACAATACATGTACCTCCATCTCCTGTTGAATAGAAGGGAACCTATTACACTCCAAAATCGCACCACAAATCCGAGTGCCATGCTTACATAGAACCACTCCACTTTATCTTCATTATCATCTTTCTCTCCTCTGTTTCTATTGTCAGTTGTTGGAACCGTACAATTATTTTGGAGGGGAGGACCACAAAGTTTGTTGCCAGCAAAACAAGATGCATCAAAGCCTTGTAGTTGAGTGCTTAAAGGAATTTTCCCAGATAGATTGTTGTTGGATAAGTTCAAGACACTCAAAAACGTTAGATTTGAAATGCTTGGCGGCATTTCAACAGAAAGTTGATTTCCAGAGAAATCAACAGTCTCTAGTGATCCCATAGCACCAATGTTCTTTGGAATTCTACAAGTAAAAGAATTGTGAGATAGATTCAATGACTGCAGTGCTCCAAGATTTGTTACTTCGGTGGGAATCTCCCCATAAAAGTTATTTTTTGAAAGGTCTATAATTCTCACAAGCTCCAAAATTGTATTGTATTCAGCCATTTCACCTTTATTCACAAGTAATGCACCCTCCATATAACTTGAATAAAAATCTACATCAGATCCATACTCTAGTTCTTCTAGTCCAGAAGATCCCATTTTCATCATCTCAGTGAAATTATTGACACATCTTGGTATGGTTCCAGAAAAATTGTTATCTGCAAGATCAAGGATTTGTAGAGAACTGAGATGGCAAAGTTCCCTAGGTAAAGGACCGTGAAACTTATTTGATCGGAGGATGAGAATCTTCATTCTTGAAAATGTTTCTCCCATCCACACTGGGATGTTCCCAACAAACTCATTTTCACCAAGGTCAAGTTTGACCATCTCTGTCCAATTTTGAAATGACACAAATACCTCTCCCAAAAGGTTGTTTTTACGAAGGTTTAATGACTTAAGAGAACTTAAAGTCCCAATAAAGGTTGGAAGGTTTCCCGTAAATCTATTGTTCTCTAAATGTATGACTTCTAAGTTTTGCCAATTCATCCAACAATCAGGCAATTCTCCGGATAAAATTTTTTTGCTAAGGATGAGTATTTGCATCAAACGTTTGAATCATTCATCTCCTTACACAGATAATGGGAAATTGATCCTGACAAAGCATTATTGGAAAGATCAAGTACATACATATTGAAGGGTGTGAGAGGTAAAGGACCTGATAAATTATTTGAATTCAGGTCAAGCAAATCAAGTTGACTGGACTGGGTTAAATTTGGAACCTTCCCATAGATTTGGTTGTGCGAGAGATTTACAAATTCTAAAGGAAATTTAAGTAAATATATTGGAATAGTATCTATGATGCTTGAGTTGGATAAATCTAGATAAGCCAATCTCCTTTGTGAACGGAGCCAGGATGGAAAATGAGGCCCAAAATGACATGAACTTATTCCTAATAAGTGCAGTTTAAATGGAGGAACCCATTGAGGACTGACTTTTAACATTAGTGAATTTCCAGATGCTTCAAATGCTAACAGTCTTGTGAGATTTGAAAAATGGATTTCAGAAAGAGTTCCGTTTACTTTGTTATTGAAAAGAGAGAGATATTTCAAGGACGAAAGTTCTCCTAATGTCGATGGAATCGGACCAGAAATAGAATTGTGTTATAGAGCAAGTCCCAGCAATTTCTTAAATTGTCCAAGTTGATTGGTCAGTTGACCAAAAAGTTGACTGTCACGCAAATCAAGAAACCCCAGAGCATCTGAAGCACATTTTGAGAAAATATCAAGTACTTCAGATATTGATTGGCTTAAGTTGAGACCTGAGATAGAGACTGACCTTAATTTGCAAAGCCTTCCCATCGATTTTGGGATTCCACCTTCAAACATATTTGATGAGAGATTAAGTGTTGTGATAGGAGTCAGGTTTCTAAAAGCAGCTGGAATCATGCCTGTCAAGCTATTGTCCCCAAGTAAAAGGACTTCTAGATTGGTAAATCTGTGCAACCAATCGGGTAACTGAAATTATTCTGAGATAAATCCAAATGTCCAGGGGAAGTCAAATTTTGAAGTCCATCAGGGATTGGACGTTCAAAATTATTTTGACTTAGATCAAGGGTGGCAAAAGATGAAAAATTTACATTGGGTTGTGGAGGAAAGTGGTGGAGTTGACAATTTGATAATTTTAACACTACTAATGAAGGTCGAGTGTGTATCACTTGCAACCAATCAGAGGAATGGCTGAGATCCACACTCAAATCAGGGTGTTCCAGCAAAGAAAGACGAGATAACCACCGAAAATTTTCAACAAATAGCATATTTCCCCAGAGACAAAGATATTGCAAATTAGATAGATTTCCAAGTTGGTGAGGAATCCTACCCTGAAAGTCATTTTGAGAGAGATTGAGGTATCTTAAATCCTGCATAGAACCAAGAAATCTGGGAATCTGTATTCCTTCAAAATTATTATCGCTCAAGTCCAATGAACGCAAACACTTCAAATTAAGCAAAGAGGGATTTATCTTACCGCCCAACTTTGACCTCTCACGAGCGTTCTCTTCAGCTTCAATTTCAGCCAAAGATTCAAACTCTTTAACTGGAGGAGTTCTGAGGTTGAGCTCAAGCACATGGCCCGTCAAGCTGTCACAGACAATTCCAGACCATGTACAGCAATCTTCATGACTAGAAGTCCAAGAGGCAAGCCAATCCACAGGATCAATAAGATCTTGCTTAAACCTTAAAAGTGCTAGTCTCTCGCTTTGGAGGCAACCAACAGAAGAACTTCCTTTGCAGAAGCTAATGTTGATGGTGGCTATGACAATGAAAAGAAAGACAACAACAATTCTCATGGTTTGTTTCATTTGTTTTCTCCAAAAGGAAAACTTGTGTTAAAAGGAAATGTGCATACGAGAATATTATCAATGACTTTCTATTTATCGTGTTTTTGTTGATAATTAATATGCTAAATAAACTTAACTGGGGATCCATTTAAAACCACACAATTAGTTGGTCCAGAATTCAACTTTGGAAAGTTGCAGGAAATTTCCTCCCTCATTACTTATGCAGCAAGATATCTGTTGATTTTTAGACCCGGTGAACTCTAAGAAAGATAAGGAGAAAATGAAAAATGTTGAACTGCATTCTTCATTACACTGCAACTTGCAATATATAGAACAAAAGGCTTACTGTTTTTACCAACTGCAACAACCATTCAGACTTTTAAAATTTAAAACAAAGCTGGCAACTTAATACAACCTTATTCTAAGCTGATTTCACCTAAACATGTTACTAAAAAACAACAACTACAGCAGCTTCAATTTCGGCAGACAAGTGGGAATGCATCAGCCGCTTGGCGCCAAAAACTCATTCAAAACCAAACTAACTTTAACTGAATTTCCAGCAAATTATCAATGCTTCAACAATATCAAAGGTATTGGACCCTGTGGTCTCGTAGTCAATATATTACAACGAAAATAAGTGAAATATTTTTATTTATCTACCTTATGTCTCTTTGGAAATGAAACATTTAGGAGAAAAAATAATAGTTAGAGCTTGAAAACATTAGCTAATGAACAAGGATATCACTGTCCTGGACTCTCCTTTCATTTTTCATTTAGATTGACAAATCTTTTTGTAGAAAATAGATAACTTCTCATTCGTTCAAATTGATTTGAGGATTCATAATAACCTTATATTGAATTGAACAGATTATTAGGTTGATAATTTCATAAAAAAGTAGTTATTCTAAGAGTAATAAATACTCTGGGGCCAAGAGAAGACTATCACTATCCAGGGTTGTCCTTTCATCCTCCTTTTGATAAGTCTTCGTCTTTTATCACTTTATAAAATTCAAATATTAATGCGAAGCTTTATAGTCTTTTGAAGAGTCATTGGTTTCTTTATCAATTCAGTTAACGTGGACCTACATTGTTGTTGATTGATTTTTATTTTGTGGAGTATGTTGTTGATCATATTTTTGGGAAGTGTTGTTGATGATGCTTTTGTGGAGATTGTGATATTTTTTGTGAAGTATTGTTGATGATGCTTTTGTGGAGATTGTGTGTTGAATGGATTGTGCATCATATTTTTGTGGCATAATGATTTTTTTTGTTGAAAATATATTGAATCTTACTCTTGTAAGTCCAAAAGTGGTTAAAGTGAACTAAAGTGAGTTATTTTTAAAAATTTTCGTGAATTCATGCATAATCACCATTTTAGAAGCAATTGAGGTGCTAGTTGAAAGGTTTTGTGAGGTTTTTGAAAATTGTTTGTTGCAACATGGTTTTAAACATTGAACTATTGGTTCTGTTTTGTGCTAGGTTTGTCTATAATTGTGGTTAGACACCGTTTTGTGTAAATGTCATGTGTTTTAGTGTTTATGCAAGTCTCCCACATACTTTAAATGCCCATGGAGCAAATTTCCATTTATTATCTTGCGTGTGTTCAAAGTGCTTAAATGTTGCTTGATGATTTGGTTTTGATTTGTAGCCTAGTTGACTCGAGTGAGTACGCCCGAGGGGTGTTCTACACCTAATCCCCTAAAGCTACCTAGCTTGGGAGCAGTTGGCCTAAAGCTTGTTACATGGGTCCTCTAGAAAATTAAGAAGTCATTACATAGATCATGAGCTTTATAAAAAATAAATAAATAAATATAAGTCTTGGCTTGTAGCCTAATTGGTTTGAGTGAGTACTAAGTCCGAGGAGCGTTTTACATTTAGTGCCCTATAGCCATTTGGTTTGGGAGTCATTGACCTAAAGCCCATTACACGGACCTTCTAGAAAGCTTAAGAAGTTAAGACAAGAAAAAAAAAAAGGTGATGAATGAAAAAGAAATTATATGTCAAAATCTTGGGTGGAAAATGAGCAGTATGTTGCATGTATATAAGTTGGGGAGTTTTGTATGACATTTTAACATTATGATATGAATATGAAATGTGTGTTTGAGAAGCTTCAATGGAGATAGGCAAATCTTGACAGAAACTTTAATTCTTTATTTAGGATTGTGTTGTTTGCTTGTTGTGTTCAAATTCTTCACTTTACCTTTTAATGAATGCCTTAGGTGTTGATGAATATGGTTGTGTATGGTTTGGTGAGAATGTTGAAAGAGTTCCTTTGACTTTACTCGAGGACGAGAAAAGAGTAAGTTAGGGAGTGTGTTAGAGTCATGAAAGTGACTCTATTTTGTTGATAAAAAGATCCCATATGTAATTGAATTGAAGTTTTATTGAGACAATTAAGAGAAATTATGAATTTATGTATAAAAATCATATTTTGAGTTTTTCTTACTAATTTAGCATATTTGGGATGAATTTGGAAATGGTGTGAGTTGATATTAGGTTGTGGTTTATGGATTAGGGATGATTTTGTCTCATTTATGCTTTTCAGGGGGTAAAATGTCATGTTTCAAGAGGTTTATTTTGTCACTTTTCAATCATGTAGGGACCAAATTGAAATTTACCACATTTTGTATAAATTGCAGGTGAAAGGTCACAAAAGGGAGAGCCAGCCGCGAGGGACTTCACCCATCATCGAAATTTGGTCGTCGGCTGGTGACGTTTCATCTTTCAGGCCAGCGACGCTTCACCTTCTCACGCCGACCAACCATCCTCCACTATCATTCACGCACGCCGACGAAGACCCACCGTTTCCATGCTGTGACTTTTCATCTTCCATCGGAGTTTGTACTATTTTCCGGTGCCGATTGAGCTTCTTTTGTGCTGCCCATAACCCCATCAACTTCCCCTCACATTTTCGCCGTCGATCTACCCTTTTTCCAGCGAGATACATCACCTTGATCCGACAAATCTTTGACTTCCCGACGCGATTTCGCTCACTTTTCGGTGACCTTTCACCTCCCCAGGACCTGATCTGAACTCCCCATCACCAGAGCTTTCCATCGGTACCTTCGGATCCCATTTTCGCCACCATTTTCTGGAAGACCCGTCGAAAAATTAACTTTTTCCGACGAGTGCATCTGTTCATATTTCAGGCTGTCTGTTGGTCGTTTTCGCCCCTTCTTCTCATCATATCACTGTCAGTTACTTCCTCTCCACCATGATCAGCTTCGTTTCCATCGTTTCAGCCTCTATCGACACCACCATGAGTGGTTGAGTTCCCGGTTGTCTGTTACGGCGTAGGCGAGATAGAGATTGACTCCATTAATCTCCTCATCAGCTCTCGACTAGTTGGATGAGCCCGAATGTTGGACGTTTGGTTAAATTTCTTGTATTCAGATTATATATGTTTTCGTTTTAGTTTGTTTACGATGCTTTAATATTATTTTGATGCTCGACGTGCTGAATTGCTAATGTCCATTGAGAACGTTTATTGATATATAACTTTTAGCATAATTGAATGTCGGTTAGAGATTATTGAATGTTGATTATGACTTTAAATTGTTTCGGTGCTGATTGCAATCAAGTCGTAGTAGCGTTTAATATCATTTCTACTAGGAATGCATTTATTGTGTAATTAGTTGATTGGATGATACAGGTTGATAGGTTGTACTTGTTAACATTGTACCAACTAGTGGTGTTTAAGGGTTTAGCGTTTTTTGATTAGTCGATGATAGTCTTTAAACAATCGATCTGTAACTAAGATGACGAGGAGACAGGATAGATTATACCTAGATTGCCGAGAGATATTTTTATTGATTTGCCTAGCCTTGTAGGNACTCCAACATTCTATAAGCCCTAAAACCAATTACTTTTGATATTCATTCTATTTGGAATCCCTTGTGTAAAGTTTTATTCTAATTAGAATTAAATAAAAAGTTTGGTCATCACCATTAAATCATCAAGAAATGGCCATTGAATGAATGACCTGAAATTCAAAATGATGTGATTTGAATTGGATTAAATAGGTCTGTTGTAAACTAATCATAATCTCTCAAATCAACAAATCAATCTCAGATCAAATCAAGCAAGAACAAGAAATCAAACAACACACAATATACCGTGGTTCGCTTGTTCAATATAGAACAAGTTACATCCACATTGAGCTCCAGAATATGGATCTCGTTGCACTATGATTAATCACTTCAAACAATACAGATTACAATCAACTTCCCTCTCTGTCAACCACACAATCACACTCTCACCAACTTCTCTTTATACCACAAACCTATACAACCACTAGAGTACCCAAAACCCTTTAAGGAACTACCAGCCCTCAAAATAAGACTCTAGACAGATTCACACAAAGAAGAACCAGTATGAATGACAAACCCTAACCCAAGGTTATAATCGTGTTTTCAAAGAAAAGAGAAGAAAACCTAAAACCGAACTGTTGTAAACTGTGTGAAAATAGTTCCCTTTTATATCGTTGACTACTGATTGAGCTGGAGCCGTTGGATCTTCCTTAATTGAATGGCTGTGATCAACTTGGATTAATAAGCAAAAAATGACAGCGTTTTTACTTAGCTTATACGATGTCGTAGACTTCATTATTTAACAAGGTCATTTAAACATTTGTCCAGACTTTTTATGGTCAGTAACATGGTCAATCAGATTAGAATTGACGTTAACCTTTTCGTTCAGCTTCTTCCCTATCTTTCAAATCTCTATTGGTGTTGTTGATTCTCTTCTTTTTAACCTCTCTCTTTTACTCTTTTATTTTTTTCCTCTTCAATCGCTATTACATTATCGAAATTTATCCCCAGGCAATGTTACTACTGTTTACTCAATTTCTCGCACCACTAATGTTACAGTAACGTTACCGGTACCACATGCACCAGTTTTGTTACCGTCATGGTGCAGCACACCACTAAGCTTGGAGTACCTCATCCCCCAGTAATGTTACGCTGATGGTGCAGTATAACCGTAACATTACCAAACCGTATCTTACAGTAACGTTACCAGCCACCTCCTGTTCCGGCAGTAATGTTGGTGTTATCATATATATATTCAATGGTAAC